AAAAAAAAAGTGTAATTGGAGAGCAACCTTTAAATTTACACCTTGGAAAAAAGAAGAATTATGGCTATTTTATGGATGTAAATCTCACGAGCGGGTATTTTTCAATAGTTAGAAGGGTTTGGGATGCAATGATTGAAAGGTTTGGAAAAAATTTGCTCGTATCTTTCAAATGTTTGATGCCTTTGTGTTGCAATTTTTATAATGCCTTCTCACCAATAATTACATTCTTTAAAAATGAATTTGCTGTGAGTTATATTATCGAGGATCTGTTAGGAGATAATCCAACCCACAATGTAATGACCAATGAAAGAAGAATTCAATGCTAGAAGACTATTCCAAAAATTGCATCGGCGAGTGGGTTAATGTTGACCAAAGTGAACAAATTACCTTTGTGCCCCCCGTGGCATTACCCATTTCTTGCATTAACAATGCTTCCTCGATGTGTTGATTTTTCATTTCTTTGCTTGACCAATTTTTTTCTGAGATCTGAAATGGCTTATGCTGCTGTTCTTTCTCTTAATGAAACTCTTCATCAGATCTTCTTTGGAGATACATTTTGTACTCTTTATGATAGTAGGAAACGAAATACTCTAATACAAAAGGTCAATGAAATCAAAAATTTGCTGATAAAATTATCCCAAAATAGCAGCGAAGAAGTGAAGTTGTTGGAAATAAAAATCAGAGATATGGCTTATCATGCTGAAGATGTCATTGAAGTCTTGCAAATAGGCTTGCAGAAAAGATCTGATTCTAGGATGCAAGAGGATTTAATAACAGAAATGGATACTACTATCAAGGACTTGCACGAAGTAATAACAGAAATGGAAACTATCATGGAAGAGATGGAGAAGATTAAAGGCGGGAGTGGCGAACAAAATCTTCCTGTAAATTGGAATTATTTTTCATCAAGATCAGCTCCTGGTGGCCGGACTAACATGGTGGGATTTGGTGAAGACTTGATGCAGATCAAGGATCGACTCTGTAATGTACAAAAATCGACACGCCAAACCATTCCAATTGTTGGGATGGGAGGCATCGGTAAGACTACTCTGGCAATGAATGTTTATAATGATCCAGTTATCGCAGATCACTTTTATTTATGTGCTTGGGTAACAATTTCTCTACAATATCATATTACGGAAATTCTTCTCGGCATTCTAGATGACATTGGTGTTCTTACCAATAAGATACGCAAAGAGAGTGATGAACAACTAAAAGAACGTGTATACAAAAGTCTCAAGGGCCGGAGATACCTGATTGTAATGGACGATGTGTGGAGTACAAATGCTTGGAATGACATACAAATGTTATTTCCCGATGACAATAACGGGAGTCGAATCCTATTGACGACCAGACTAACCCATGTAGCGGATTATGCCAGTTCAACTAACCCTCCTCACCTGATGCATTTTCTAACTGAGGAAGAAAGTTGGAATTTACTTTGTCAAAACGTCTTTAGAGAAGCAAATTGCCCTCTTGAGTTGGTAGATGTCGGAAGCAATATAGCAAAAAATTGTCAAGGACTTCCATTATTAATTGTGGTGGTTGCTGGACTCCTTGCAAAGAAAAATAAGTCACTAGATTACTGGAAGTATCTTGCCGTGAATTTAAGCTCAATTATAATAGAAAAAAAGGATCACTGCTCAGAGATATTAACTTTAAGTTACAATAACTTGCCTCCTCTTTTGAAACCATGTTTTCTTTACATGGGAATTTTCCCAGAAAACTATGAGATTCCTGTCTCTAGACTCATCAAATTATGGGTGGCTGAGGGATTTGCAAACCACCCATTCGAAGCTGAGAGATATCTGATGGATCTTATAGGCAGAAATCTTATTTTGGTAGGTCAAAAAGGATCCATTGATGGAAAAATTAAGACCTGCAGAATGCATGATCTTCTGAAAGTTCTTTGCGTGAGAATAGCTCATGAGGAGAATTTTCTTTACGTCAAGAGCAGGCATCTGCGCTTCCTTCCACAAGAGATAAGTTTCAAGCGCCGTCTGAGTATTCATGACGATGCTTCATATAGTGGCAGTGAGGAGGATGTCACAATGCAATCAATGGATCTTGTCCGTTCTTTTATATATAATGGTTGGGATGAAACTCAGTTACATTCTTATTATTATTTTGGTTGTCGACTGCTAAGGGTATTGGATATGGTTGGAGTAGAGCTTAGCGGGTTCCCGGAGGAAATACTGCTCCTAGTTAACTTGAGATATGTTGCTATCGCCTGTCATGCCGTGATTCCTGCTTCTATTACCGTACTTTGGAATCTAATTACTTTAATTGTTGAAGACTCAACGGGAATTGCAAGTATACTGCCCATTGAGATTTGGAATATGCCACGATTGAGACATCTCAAATTCTCTCGAGTTTTCCTGCCTGCTCCTCTTCATGCTAGTCCTTTCCTTCGTTTAAACTCACTGTCTGTTTTGGACAGTTTGGATTATGACATTGGCCAAATAACTCCATTGTTAAAGAAATTGGGAATTCATTATAATTCCCAGTCATCTCACTCTCTCAACCATCTTGCCTATTTCCTAAACCTAGAAACGCTGAAGATTCTCTTTGACTCGCCAGCAAATTCTACATTCATTAACACTGCTTTGCCATCATGTCTCAAGAAGATAACTTTGGAGCGTGGTAGAATTGACTGGGAATACATGAGGATTTTTGGTTCCTTGCCCAATCTAGAAGTGCTAAAATTGCGTGAGTATGCCTTCCAGGGCAGAGAGTGGATACCAAATGAAGGGGAATTTCTCCAACTGAAATTCCTGTTAATTTGGGAGACAGATTTGGAGCACTGGAGAGCCAAAGATACCCATTTTCCACGTCTGGAACACCTTATCCTCAGGAATTGCTCAAATTTGGTAGAGGTCCCATCTGATATTGGTGAAATACCAACACTTGAAACTATTGAGATAGATTACTCCAGTCCTTCCGCTGTGGATTCGGCAAAGAAAATACTTGAAGATCAACTATACCAGGGAAACGATGGCCTTAAAGTTTTTGTCCATCCAACAAAAACACAAGTCTATCCACTAAAATTTGGGGTAATTACTGATCCTATATTTATATGTTGCTTTCTTAATTTTTAGTTATTAATTAACTTCCAACAGATCCAGCAAGATGAATCAGGTCGCTTCTATCGAAGAAAAACCAAACTTGATGAGTTCAAGGTAAATCATTTCCTCAACCCATATTTGTATGTTATTTCTTAATTTTTATATATCAATTAACTTCCAACAGATCCAGCAAGATGAATCAGGTCGCTCGGATGGAAGAAAAACCAAACTCGATGAGTTCAAGGTTAATCACTTCCTCAACCTATATTTCTATGTTACTTTCTTAATTTTTAGATATTAATTAACTTCAAACAGATCCAGCAAGATGAATCAGGTTGCTTCTATCGAGGAAAAACCAAACTCGATGAGTTCAAGGTAAATCATTTCCTCAACATATTATTGTGTATTACTTTCTTAGGTTTTAGATACACGAAGGCAAATATTGATCACCAATGCTTGGGAAAAAATTATGATCTGGAGATAACTTCTGATTCAAGTATCCCTCACTTAATATTTGACGTAGAATAGCTTCACTTTAGTTAATACTTCAAAGCTATCATCTCATTCACAGTCTCAATTGAGCAACTACTCACCAGGTATTATGTATTGTCAGACTGAAGAAAAATCTGGAAGCAGCTCCGATGCTTAGGAATTTTTTCTCCAGCTCTACCTTCGGAAATGGATTTATTGAATTCCGGAGCGCGTGAAGATTGGGAGGTATCTAAGTAATCAACTCAATCAATTCCTTGGCCAATAACTATATCTTACTTCCTTACCTTTTAGTTACAAGAAGCAAAATTATCATAAAAGAATTAGGATCCATTCTGAAGTAGAATATCCTCATTTTAGTTAATAGTTGAAAACTATCACCGTCGTCTCTTTCACAAGTCTCAATTAAGCAACTACTCACCAAGAATTATGGATTGTCAGGCTAATATGAAGTCTAGAAGCAGCTCCAATTCTTAGGAAATTTTTCTCATGGATTGACTGAATTCTGAAACGCATGAACACTTGGAGGTATCTGAGTAATCAACTCTTCCTTCTTCCAACACCATATATGCCTTCTTGAGTTTCATCACTTGTACAATTACAGTTTGTTTGTTATTATTGAGATTGTGTTTTAATTTTAAAGGATTTTTAGTTTTGGATTGTACTATGTTATCCCGATTATTCTGTGGATAATGCTACTTTGCCATAAGCCTAGGTGGCGGGAAGTGATTTGATGGAAAAGACAACTGTTTTTAAATAGTCCAATGATAGAGTGTCATGTGGCACTATATCAACCATTATCTATAGTATTCTAGCACCGTAGCCTGGTGGTTGTTCTGTACAACATTATTGATTTCACTCGTCTTCAAAGCATTTTACCTTTGTAAAACGATTAATTCAGCATTTGATGTGTTGTGCTAAAGTTCCAAGTTTTGAGAATTCCTGTTTGTACACTTATCTTTCTATTTAGCAAAAAAAACTTCTTTAAATGTTTCACTCAACAAAATGTGAATTAAGATATTACTTTTTAGTGCATATTGTCCTGCTTAAAAATACATTTTGAGGTGCTTATTTGGATCATCCTTTTAAGTGGAGCTAAGGGTGAACACGGTTCGGTTGGTTGATTTTTGATCTATTTTCATACTAAATCATTTAAAACGGTTTTAAAAAAAATAAATCCAAACCATATCTTTTTAATCTTCAAATCAAACTAACTTTTAAGGTTCCTTTTGGTTTAAACTATTGTTTACTTAGTTATATAAAGTTTAAACCTCTCAAATAAAATAAAACATAAATATTTTAGCAATCAAAATTGACATATGTTGCATTTCTATATTCGGTACAAAGTAATAAATATCATAATATGCATAACCATTTCATAAGTATGAGTTAAACAATTCAAATATTGGTTCTTGACACCATTGATAATACCTTCCAATGATAATAGCTAGAGATGTTGTATTGGAGATGAACTTTTGTGGACATTCTTTATTTAGTTTATATAACAATTTTTTAGTGCCATTCATATTGGTATTTGAGAAGCTCTGAAAATTACGGGCACACTTTCGCACAAATTATTGTTAACGGAGGGGAAATTAAAGATAATTATACTATTTTCAAGTTATTTGATGAGTTCTTATGTATATACAAACTAAGGGTAATTATACTATTCATATTAATATTTGAAATTTTACCACTAAGTAACTTTGAGAATGTAATTTCCCAAATTGTTTAACACCATTCATCACTATTTACGTTTCTTTCTATCCAAAAATTGAAAAGCGGGAGACTTTTTAAATAGTAATTTGAGCAATAAAAAGTGCACATTAAGTCAGGAAATTTAAATCATTTAACCGAAGGCAAATAATTTTTCACTATTTCAAGTAAGTTTGTTTCTAAAAATTGTTTTCCGTAATTATCACTCTTTAACGATTCTAAAAATTATACGGTGGTTAAATAAGTCATCTAAGCACAACATATCAAAGTTGCATAATTTGTTGAAACCCATTAGTGCTTCAAATCATGGGCGGACCAGGGGACGGGCCTAGGGGGTCACGTGACCCCTAGATTTTGGGGACAGAAATTTTTTTATTTTTTATTTTTTTTTTAATTTTTTTTTTTTTTAAATTAGAAAATAAAAGTCTAAACCCTACATTTATATAATGCAACCAGCGTTGGAGCTTTGCCTGTTTCTCTGCCACCATTTGAATAATCCCCTGCATTAATATGCCATTACCATTTATCCACTGGCCACCACTTCACATCTTCACCATTTGAATAAGCCATTAGCCACCACCAATTTGAATTAACCCCATTTAAAAAAGCCCCACCACAACCTGCCATTCAGCCATTGTTTTCGCTGTCACGTTGTGCATCGTCTTCTGTGCTGGTCTACATATTTTTGTGGTCCGCATATTTCTAAAATAAAAGTATTTTAGAAATGGGAAATTTCAATTGTATTCGGACGTTTACACGCCCCTCACATGGGAGTGGGGCTCACGCATGACACGCCCTCACATGGGGGGTGGATAACTGGCGTGTAAATGTCCGGATACAAGTAGCTTGGTCCTTCAGAAATTCCACCATTTTTTATGTTAATTTAATATAAATATCCTCTGCATCTTATGGCAATTACATTCCCATTAGTAATTCATTAGTATATTGCTATATTTTTTTCTTTTATGCTCAACAGACACGAACAATTAATAACAACAGCTTCGAAGTAGTAAACAATCAATTAAAACAATCAAATTTATAGACGATAATAAATACTTTCTACAACTATCATGACACGGTGTCAGTGATTGCAATTAAAAAAAGGTTACGTTCTAAATTATCGGTCCATAGTTGTAGTAATGCATAAAAAAATGTCCTAGACAAGTACAGTTGTAAAGTATAGTTGTAGAAAGTATTTATTATCGTCTATAAATTTGATTGTTTTAATTGATTGTTTACTACTTCGAAGATGTTGTTATTAATTGTTCGTGTCTATTGAGCATAAAAGAAAAAATATAGCAATATACTAATGAATTACTAATGGGAATGCAATTGCCATAAGATGCAGAGGATATTTCTATTAAATTAAAATGAAAAAATAGTGGAATTTCTAAAGGGCTGAGCTACTTGTACCCGGACATTTACACGCCCAGTTACCCACCCCCACGTGAGAGCATGTCGTGCGCGAGCCCTGCTCCCATGTGAGGGGCGTGTAAACGTCCTAATACAAATGACATTTCCCATTTCTAAAATACTTTTATTTTAGAAATATGCGGACCACGAAGATATGTAGACCAGCACAGAAGACGATGCACAACGTGACAGCGAAAACAATGGCTGAATGGCAGGTTGTGGCGGGGCTTATTCAAATGGGGCTTATTTTAATGGGGCTTATTCAAATTGGCAGTGGCTAATGGCTTATTCAAATGGTGAAAACATGAAGTGGTGGCCGGTGGGTAAATGGTAATGGCATATTATGGCAGGGGATTTTACACAGAGGTACTTTTTAAAATAGCTTGGTCAAACAACCAAATTTTCATTTTGACCATTTTTTTTTTGTATTCACCACATTGGCCTATTGCCATTAAAAAGACAATTCTACCATTATTCATGTTTAATAATTACAAAAGTATATCAATTGTTTAAAAGACAATAATACCCTTAATAGTTTAAATAAATTCTGTTACTTCCATACGTAAATTTCAAAATCAGTTTTGGTTTATCAGTTTCTCCAATACAGTAAAAAAGAATTTTTTCCTTCCATCTGCTAAAATATTGAAATCTCCCAAAATTATCAAAGGTTCAAGAAAGAAACAATACTCACAGTCAGCACTGGAAATTGGTATGTGTAAATACGTATTTTGAATTTTGTTTTAGTTAAGTTTACTGTTTGAATCTGTAAATAATTATTTTGAGAAAGGCAGATGAATTTTACAGTATTTAAACACAGATTTATAATTTTTTTATAGCAAAAACAACAAAAGAAATTCATCTCTGTATGCATATATTTTACAGGAAAAATTTATAGGTGTCTGTAAAATAAATATTTAAACATTATTTCGTTGAAAAAGAGAAAAAATAAAAAATTAGAGCGTAAATTTCAGATGAAACGGACGAAAAAAGTTGGGTCAAATGTTTCCAGCCGGCCCAGTTGTCGGGGCCGGATGGAAACAGCCGACTGTTCCCAGCCCTTTTTTTTTTCCCTTCAGATTTTAGAATTTATTTGTTCATTAATATATGTTTATTGAAATAAATATTAATGAATATTTAAATAGTAATTGAAATAAATATTTTTGAAACAATTAAAATAATCAATGAATTATTTAAAGTATTAAATTAAATTAAATATGAAATGAACAATTTAAAAAATTATATATTAATTCTTTATTTTTAATTTGTGGCAGATATGGCATCAGCATGTGTCCCAATTTGTTACTTTGGTGAATTTCAAAGGAATGAAAATGCTCAGTGGGAATGGAAATGGACGAGTGAAGGAGATGGGGTTAAAGCAATTTTTATAACAAGGAGTACATCGTTCGCAGAAATGTACAGTGATATACAAAACATGCTTAACGTCGATCCCTCTCAGTACGATATGGAATTGGGATTTTTGTTTCATAAGCATTCAACCATTTCAATTCCACCTATGAAAGTTACTTCTGAAGTGGAAATGAAACATCTAATTAAATTGAATCAAGGCCGGAAGTCGACTCCTATTTGCGTAACTTTATTGGGGAAGAATGTCCACGAGGGGGAACACGAAGTTTCAAATGAAGAGAATCGTAATGTAAATGATGTTTGGGATACAATTCAGATTGTTCGTGAAGATGATGTGGTTATTCCCGAGACCACTGCTACTCACCATGGTCACACTGTTACGCACAGAATTCCATCGATAGTTGAAGACAACGAGAATGAAAATGCATTTACAAACAAGGATTTGATTGCTTTATCTCGTAGGAGACATGAGTCGGGTGGGAGCTCGCAGGCCGGACCGAGTACACGGTCCTCTAATTGTTCGCGTGTAGTTCCCGATGATGAAGATGTATATGTCGAGCAACTATTCGAATCAAAGAAAGAATTGCAAGAAGCTGTGCACCGGATTGCTTTAAAACATAACTTCGAGTTTAAAGTGAAGAAATCAAACAAGTCGTTATACACAATTATCTGCGTTGACGACAGTTGCCATTGGCGTTTGCGAGCGACTAAGATGGACACGAATGAGTTCTTTGTAGTTCGTAAGTATG